GTAAAAGTGTAGGGAAGCATTTCTAAACCATGTTCTGTTATACATTGATATATTTTAGTGTTTCTAGAGGGGAAAAAATGTTTAGGAATCAAATAAGTTTGGGATTTGGGATATACGAGATTTCCCACTCTTGAAGATTCACAATATACATTAGTTTAAAGCTTTGAGATGTGCTATAATTAAACAGCAAGAAGAAAACCTGTTTAATTTTGTTTAATCTGCCATTTCCTAGACATTTAAAAAAATTTTAATCTGAAATTTAAAAAATTGTGATAAAGTATTGGGTTGTCGGAAAAGTCATGATGCATTTTTGCAACGAAAAACATAGAAAAAATGTCATGACTTTTCCGACAACCCAATATATATAACATAAACTTCATCATTTTTATTATTTTTAAGGGTACAGTTCAGTGGCATTAAATACAGTCATATTGTTGTACAGCCATCTCTAGAACGTTGTGATCTTCCTCAACTGAAACATATCCATTAAACACCTACTCCCCATTCCCCACTTCCTCCCCTGGCAACTGCCATTTTACTTTCTCTGTCTATGAATTTGACCACTCTATGTACTTTATATAAAGTGGAATCATATAGTATTTGACCTTTTATGATGAGCTTATTTCATTTAGTATAATGTCCTCAGGGTTCATCCATGTTGTAATGTGTCAGAATTTCCTTTTTAAGGCTGAATAACATTCCGTTGTATGTATGAGATGTGATCAGAAACTATGGTGAATTTTTAAATAAAATTTATTACACTAAAAGACACATTGCCATTAATACCCCTCAAAATACTCCTCCTTGCTTCAGACATACTTATTCCATCGTCCTTGCCACTTTCTGAAGCAGTTCTGGAAGTCCTCTTTCATGAGTGTCCTTATTTGCACTGTCGTGGCTACCTCAAGGTCCTGAATCATTTTGACTTTGGGAAAGAGCCAAAAGTTGTATGGTGCCAGATCCGGTGAATAAGGTGGATGAGGACACACTGTAATGTTTTTATTTGACAGAAATTGCCATCTACCAGAAGTGATGGGTGACTCGGAACATTGTCATGATGGAGGATGATTTATGGCACACTTTAAAACACACCTTCTCTCAACCGTACCTTACACCCAACTGACTACATTGAACAAGTTGAGACTTGTTACACACTGTTACTAAGGTTCGATGTTATACACTGTTACTAAGGTTCCACGTTACACACTGTTACTAAGGTTCGACATGCCGCTTCTCATATTGAAGATCCCTGCCTTCCTGCTGGATGGCACTCGGCAGCAGCATTCACTGTATTTTTTATTTTTTTATTTTTTAGCATATTTTGTGATCACACCTCGCATGTACCACATTTTATTTATCCATTCTCTACAATGTATTTGTAATGACTGTGTAATATTCCATTGTATGTCTGTGTCATGGTATTTGCACTGTTGATGTTTAGGTTGTTTCAGATTTTCAGTATTACAAACAACCCTGAGATAAGTATTTTTGCACAGTTATCTCCTAAGAGCAAATCCTAGAAGTGGGATGTGCCCAGAGGGTACTCATATTTTATATTTGGATAGATATTACCAAATTGCCCTCTAAAAAGTCCCATTTCTCTGAACCCCTGCCAACATTGTATCTTAAAAATCTTTGATCTTTGCACAACTGATCAGAGAAAAAAACATGTTTTCATATCTTTGCCTTAGAAATCAAGTCTACCTTCAAATGATAATCTGCTGCTCTTAAAGTGATTTAAAACATAGCCTTTGGTTTTGAAATGTAGTGTTGGGTAATGTTCCAAGGTGACAGTTTTGAAGGGCACACTGAAGAGAGGCTCTTGTATCTGTATCGAGGGAGAAAAGGCAAACCTTTCCTTATAATCACTCTTACACATGACCTGCTCATATACCCAGCTAATCTGTACGACAGAACTAATTGTGTGGTCCTTGGAAGTCAGATGGCAGCGTTTATTGAACTCCTGCCATGTGTAAGATCGTTTGTTGCCAGAAGGGGTGTGGGTGTTTTACCCCTGTCCTTGTGGAACTTGCAGTCTGAATCCTCCAGTACTTGGCACAAGAGGTGGAAAGCAGTCCTGTGGGAGTTCCCTGTGAGAACCCGTACTGAATACGTATTTGTTGAGTGAATCCTACAGAGTCCTCATTGCATGACGTCACTGTGTACTAATAGAGACAATATCCGCTCACGTTGGGGTGTTTGAGCGTTCTGTTCTGTAAGGGTAAACTTAGGGAGCTGATGTGTGCCTTCAGAAGTGTTTGCCCAGAACTCTTTTCTTCATAAGAAGTGATGGAGCAGAGCCATTTTCCTTGAAAAGACTCTATTGAGGGTACTCCAGTATACTTCTGTTGCTTTGCCCTTTGACTTTTCGGTGCCAGAACACCCATTAAATGTGTGGCGTCTTACGGAACCCCTCGTTTCTGCAGTGGGGAACTATTCAGTACGAAGTTGGAGGCACCTGCGCTGCTTCTGTGGGCAGCTAGTTGCCTTACTGTCCTGGGGGACAGGCTGACTGTGACTGCTACAGGGGCGTTTGCAGCTCTGGTGGCCTGTGAGCCTGTGATTCTATTACAAAATGAAAACTATCAGTTATAAGTATTTCAATGGTTGTAAGCATCTCTGTGGGTCTGTAAGCTCTTATTTTTACAAGTGAAATGTAAATGTTCCCCTTTAACTCTGTAATTCTTTTTTTTTTTTTAGCTGAGCCATCCTGCTACCTATTGGCAGCTTAGCGGCTGCTCAGCTCGGGCTGGCCTCGAACCGCTGTTGCTCAGAGCTCAAACTCTTGAGCGAGCTCTTAACCAACTGAGCCACTCGGCCGGNGGCTGCTCAGCTCGGGCTGGCCTCGAACCGCTGTTGCTCAGAGCTCAAACTCTTGAGCGAGCTCTTAACCAACTGAGCCACTCGGCCGGCCCCTGTAATTCTTTTCTGATGAATACACTTAAAAGGGTGGGCTGACATTAACATTTCTGAGACTGAATGTCTCAAATTTGACACTTAGAAGAATTCCACTGTATTCAGAGATATACGAGTTCTGTATTAGGGTATAAACGTCTTTTTTTGTGTGTTTTTTAAAGATTTTATTGGGGAATTCGGGGAGGGGAACAGTGTTGAGGAATTGGGGAAGGGGACCAGCCAAGTTGTTGTTCTTCAGTCTTGGTTGTGGAGGGCGCCAGTTGCTATCTGGCTTCCTGTCGGCGGCTCGTGGCCTCTAAGCTCAAGGTGCTGTGTTCAGTCTTAGTTGCGGGTGGGCATAGCCCACCATCAAACAGGCAATCTTGTTGTTACACCAGCTGAGCCATCCTGCCACCTGTTGGCAGCTCAGTGACAGCTCAGCTGGGGTGCCGCGTCACTGGCCCATGCGGGAATCGAACCGGCGGCCCTGTTGCTCGGAGCTCGCACTCTTAAACCAACTCTTAACCAACCGAGCCCCTCGGCCGGCTCGAGGGATATAAAGTTCTTGATTCAGGGGTGCCTTACTCACCTTGGCATTTCCCATTAGCCTCAGTGTAAAATAAGGACTCAGTGGATATATTTAAAGGGAAAAATAAAAACTAATGTAACTCATTTGATTAGAGATGCTCCTCAGTTAAGCCTCCTGTTAATCTCAGCATCTTTATCTTAAGACCCACCAATAGACTATGTTACCAGACAAAAAAATTTCAAAACCTCAGTTAGCTATAACAATTTATTAGCTAGATTTCCCCCAGGTTCCATTTCTAGAAGAAACAAATGACAAGAAAGTAGACCGATGTTATAGGCCTTTCTAAAAATAAATTCTAGGACTGTTTGTGGGACCATATTCAACCCAGCTTTCACATTCCTGGCCCTCCATAATGGTTTTAGAGGAGCAGAGAAGTGATCCAGATGACCTGCAGAGTCCTCTGTCACAAAGGAAGCACACTCTTATTTTACCTGCTGTGAACTTACTAAAGAAGGGTGAATTGTCGATGTATTTTAGGATTACTTTAAACAAGAGCTGGAAGCTGAAATTGGTGCTGATATCATTGTCATCATTATTATTATTAATAGCAGCTAATATTTAATTCTGTGCCGGGTACTCTTTTGAGCACTTTACCTGCATTGTCTCCTTTATATACTCTCATCCCTGGAACCCCCGTTTTATAAATGAAGAAAGAAAACAGGCTCAAAGCGGTTAACGTTATTTTGACCAAGATCACAGAGCTACCAAGTGATAGGGTCAGGATTTGAACCCCGTTTTGCCTGTAAGGCCTGAGCTTCTTAACTACTGTTCTGTAATATTTCCTTCGTTGAAGAGCCCCATTTAACTGAGGAGGTACCATCTCACTCCCAGAGCAAACATCATTACAGTTTTAACAGGATTCAGGAAGCAGTCCTTATAATTAAGTTTCTAAAATAAGAAATTAATCTGGTAACAGACAAGTTTGATTAATAAGTTTTATTTTAAAAGCACAGTTCTATCTTAAGTCAGAAGAAAGGAAAATATACTTATTGAACAAAACTACTTCAGTGGAACATTTCTGTAGAATTCCCAGTAACCCAGAAAGCATTGTCTGTGCCCTTTTAGATACTTTACAGCCGTATGACAGGAGGCGGAAATGTAACCTGAAGAAATACAGTTTCATACTTTAGCACATCATTTGGGGAAAATACAACTTGTTCCTCCATCACCTTATAAAGTAATGAGAAGACTGCATGGAATAAAGGGAGAAAGAAAGGAAAATTTATTGTTTTAACAGTACTTATGTGCTTTGAGTGGCCTAAGGAGTTACTGTTATTTGTTTTGCAAGGGAGGAAGCCATCCTCTCTGATACCATGGAGATCTCATTGACGAGAGCCTTAGCCCCTAGTGTTTATAAGGATTTCCTTTCAGCTTAGACCTAATCCTTTTAAGCTGCAGGTACAGGGATAAATGTTGATTTTCAAGGTAGCGTTTTTCACATTGAATTTGTTTGAAAAATGATTCAGTCATTTTTTTGCCTTATTCTTAAATATTGCTGTGTACATCATGTTTCTAGGTAGGTGAGCCCGTGAAACAATATGAAGAGGAGAAAATAGCCTTTTAAGGAAATTGGCCCACAGAAAGGATGGCCTTCTTGGACAATCCAACTATCATTCTAGCTCATATTCGACAGTCCCATGTGACCAGTGATGACACAGGAATGTGTGAGATGGTTCTCATTGATCATGATGTTGACCTAGAGAAGATGCATCCTCCTTCAATGCCTGGAGACAGTGGGTCAGACATTCAGGGAAGCAATGGTGAGACTCAGGGCTATGTGTATGCCCAGTCAGTCGATATTACCTCAAGTTGGGACTTTGGTATTAGAAGACGCTCAAATACAGGTAAACATTGCCTTTTAGTCATGTCTTCTGAGCTTTAAATCAGTAAACAATCTTATAGAGTAATGTATAATGTTGGACTAGGTTGAATGGGGTAAGTTTCTTTGCAGGAATGTGCATGTATTAACACCAAGAGTGAGTCTAAGCAACATATCCATGTCCTCAACTGAATGGAGCGAGCCTCTGGAGTGATGCTATCAGAAAGAAGTAGACACAAGAGGAGTAAGTGAAAAAGTTGGCAGTGAGAGGCATGGTGGATGTTCTGTTTCTAAAAAGTCATCATGTAGAGAGGGAAGTGGACTTGTTTGGAGCATCTTCACAGTGCAGCGTTCGTTAGTCCCTGGAGGCAGATTTCAGGTTGACATAATCAAGAACCTTTTTATACAGGGAGCTGACCAGCCAGGGAATGCTGCTGCCTAGGACAGTCCTTGTCCCTGGAGGAATTGTGGGGGGTTGGGAGACTGAAGGGAGACAGCTGAATATTTATTAGGCCTGCTTTTAATAGGAATTGCTACATTGGGTATGAGATTAGAAGAGGTACTTCTGTTTTCTATACATTACTTTTATTTTCTTAAATTGATCTCTACCCTTTGATCTCTGTGGCTTGAAAATGCTCAACTTTGGTGTATATATATATTTTTTTTTTAATTTTTTTTTTTTAGTTATTAGCTTTTAAAAGCTTATCTTTGCCCATTTTCCAGCTTCTATTTTTTTGGAAGCCTTGCAGAGGACATGTGATGAACCAAGGCCTTTACTTAGATAAATTATTTAGAATATATAATGTAGTAGTTCTAATAGGACAGTGTATTCTAAGAGATCTTTTTTTTTTTGTAATCAGAAAATACAATCTTTTAATCAGTAGCAGTAATCTGCTAATGCCCAGGAAGAGTAATGGCAGGAGATGTAGTAGAATATTGAAAATATTTCCATGTTTATTTCCATGTTCCAAATGTAAAGTACACGTGAAGGAGAACTTGCAGGTGGAGCAGGGTACGATTTCCAGAGAAAGGCGTATTGAGGGTGTGGTTCAGGATTCAGCATTCTGTGACATCTACAAAGAATAATTTGTTCTCATGATGAAAATAATTAATAGCATTTCCTGGTATCAAGAGGAACTTTTATCAAAATAGGATTTGAGTGAAGGTTTGAATATAATATAGAACCATTGATTCTCAGTTCTCTAGTTGAAACTGACTTCCTTGCAGTTTATTGAGATGATATCTTATATGACAGGTTGAATGGATTTCAGTAGGAAAATGCTGCTCAATTGAGAGCTTTATGATTATATTACTTAGGCTGTACCCTTCACATTTATTAATTGCAATTGAATGGAGTGGAATTTGGTGAGATATAGTGACATTGTCAGAATGCTTTTGCCGACATAGTTGAAATTTCTGGCAAAAATAGTTTGTGTTTCCCCACCACATGCTAAGTCAGGAGTGTATGATTTCCTACTTTGAAAGTGGCTGAAAGAGAAATTTCTTTATTTTCTTTATTTTATTTATTTTTTGTGTGCATTGTGCCAGGATAGGAAGTGCAAGACGCAGCTAATTTTGAAAGATGGCCTTAATTGTGACTTTTTTTTTCCATTGTGGTCTCAGTGTGCAGCAGTTGTTAATGTGTGCTGGTCAGTGTTTCTTTAAAAGACAGGTTCACTGATTTCTGAAGGTTGATCAGCCAGTGGTAATATAATCACAGATGCATAATTTTAGGTGATACTTTTGTTATTGTTGTTGGAATTTCTTAAGATACTTAGGTGCTAATAATTAGTTAAGATTGTGGGGTGTTCTAGTGACCAAGGAATTTACTTTTTTTAAGCCTTTCAGCATATCTTAAAATTTTGTATAAGAAAAATTGTTCTTTTTAAGATTTGACTAATGTTACAAAGATACAAATCATTTATTTTACTACCTATAAACTGTTTCAGCCCACTGAAGAAAAGCTATGCTAATTTATATAGCTTTGACATTTTATAATTTTCATGATTTTTAGATAAAGGATTTTATATTTAAAACTTTAATAGTCTAGTCTGAGTTCATTTATCTTTAATTTTTGAAACGGGTAGAGTAATTCATAACAGTAATTTTATTCCTGTAATGTAATATTCACTTCAGTTCATTTGTGCATTAAAATTCCTTTAAGACCGTTATTAATGATTTATATAATGAAATGTCATATTAATCACAGAAGTTTTCACATTTTATTATTCTCTTCCATGTTAATACTATCTTTATGATCTCTATTAATGTTTTATATCCTCTAATTTCAATTATAAATCAAGAATATTTTCATGTTTTTGTTGGTATTTGCTTTTCAGGGGTGCCACCTTTAAAATTTTATGACTTTTTCCCTTCATATGCAATATAAAACATCTTTATTCATATAAAGGTAGTTAATTATGTCTTTGTTTATAGTAAACTTTCATTGACAAACTTATAGTTATAATATTTCTTTTCAAGCTCAAAGATTAGAACGACTCCGAAAAGAGAGACAAAACCAGATCAAATGCAAAAATATTCAGTGGAAAGAAAGAAATTCTAAACAATCAGGTAAATGGAAATAATTTTAATTGTTAATTTGAGATTTATATATTTAGCTTATATTATTATATAAGAGCTTTTATTTTTAATTCATCCTTTTAAATCCTCTGGGCCGATACCTCCTGTGTTTTGAGTTTTAAACTCTCACTTGGGTACCTTGGTATTCTGAAGCTGGGTGTTCTTTAGGCCTTGTCTTCTTGGCCACTTTTCGTTCTGGGTACCAGGAATTGATGTGTACAAGGCACATTTTTTACAAACTGCCGTGGCAGTACCTTGTTCTTAGAGCCAAGGAGCTCTAAGAACCTGTGATTTGGATGGACCTCTGGGCACTAGATTGCTCCTGGCAGTTGAAAACTAGACTTGCCCTTGTTTCATTAGTGGCCTCACTAACAACCTTTTTTGCAAATATGCTAATTCTTTTCCTTTAGTTTAAAAATCATTATGTTGCTGGTATTATGAGCATTTGCAATATATGTTCATATGATATGTGTATTAAATAGCTGTCCGTATTATATATTTTCAATCTCAGCAAGAAGAGTTTTTAAAAATTCAAAGTAAAATGCTATTAAAATATTTTCTAATGTTTATATCATATTTCCTAGACTTTCTCTTTTTTTTCTCCTTTCAAAGAAATCTCTGCAGTCCGTCTTCTATATCTTTTCAGCACCTTTCGGTACCACCCTGGCATGTAATATCCAATGAATATTTGTTGACTGACTCCATTGCTACATAATATTTATAAAACTCACAATATTAATGATTACTGTATTAATATCAGCACCTATCTAGTGCTGTTCTAAGCATTTTATATGCATTACCTCCAATGCACCAATCTTATAAGGTGTAGGTATCATTGATTAGATGAGACAGGCTCAGAGAGATTTAACTTGCTAAACTTACATGGCTGGGAAGTGGCAGGTAGTTCAGAAGAGCCATGTTTTGTATTGAGCACTGTGCATGTCTCTCTCTGCTAAACCACACTATCTATTGCTTTCTCTTGCTATGATGGTAAACCTGAGTGAGCTCAATGGGTCTGATTTTCTTAATGATTGTTTCTAAATGATGACTGCATAGAACCGGAAATCCCATTCACATATTTCTTTCTCTCATGTCTCCCTTCTTTGACTTCCTGTAGAGTTTTTTTTTAATGTCTTTAGTTTTGCTCTTGATACCTCACAAACTCTCTGTAGGCTGTCCATTTCTGTTGACCCAGTTAATACTTCTCTCTCATATATCATTTATAGGGTTCATTTTCTTCAAACTTTTATATATTTTAATGCTTTTTCTATTAATCTCTTAATGACTACAGAGCCAGTTTACCTAAGCCCATCTCTCCAGCTGCCCTTTGTTTCACCTTCTTTATCTCCTTATCTTAAAAAATATTATAAGGTGAATAGAGCACCTCAAATTTAACTGTGTTAATCCCTTTTACAATGAGAGGAATAAATTCTTCAACTCAAATTTTGATACATCTATTAATTTAATAATTAGATCTATCTAATAAATTTTGTTGTATCTTTCACTCCTTAAAGCCTAGTCCACTTGAACTTCTGTTCAGTATTTCACAGAATGTACTGGAGAAATAATCTTGGTTTTGCTTTCATTTGTACCTATGCCATCCATTCTGTATGTAAACTTCTCTCTTCCTCAGTTTCCTCTTATTTTTGTCTCTCACAGGTTTCAATAATTGGCCCCATGATCTTATTTCCGAAAAAGCTCCTTAATATGCCTGTCCATGCTTTGAAATGTGGACCTTGATTCTGACCAGGCGAGTTGCCTGGTTACTTCTGATGGTTAGAGTGAACCTCATCAATGCACAAGGGAATGTGTGAATTCTCTGTTAAGCTGGGTCCCATCATCACTACAACTTGGCACTCTGGGTATCCTGAAGTGTGTTAGAAAACAGAAGTGAGCAGTCCACTACCCATCCCCCTGGCAAACTCAGCAGCTATTCTGTGCTCATACAGCTCTCAGACACATACTCTCTTTTGGAAAGAAATGTCATGGCCAAATCTCTTTGATCTTACTTGGGAGATTTGGTTAGGTAATCATTTACTCACTCCCTCATTCTCTTTCTGCCATTTATGTTTTGTTGAAACCCTTTCATCTGTTTTTCTTATCTTTGTTTTATTCCCCACTAGAAGAATCCTTGTCACGAATATGATGACCTCCACTGGAATGTTCTTCTTCCACAATTATTCTGTCTAAATCCAGTCCATCCTTTAAGACACAGCATAAACACAGCCTTTTCATAGAGGAGTCGAAAAGGATCTTAGACACCATCTGGTCCACACCCCAAAGTTCTTTATGAACTTTCTGATCCATATGCTGTGAGACCACATGATAAATGAAATACCTTAGACTAAGATCCTTTCAGTATTTCTGTAACCAAAACTGCATGGATAAATGTGGATGGAGATGGTCATCGGAAGACAAGTCTGTCGGGAGTAGGGTCAAATCAAGGTCCCAGCATTTTTAGTGTTGTTGTTTTAAAGTGGCGTTGGTATATTCTTTACAAAATTAGCTATTACTCTTACTCGTTGAGCCATTTAGCAAGTATTTCTTCCATAATGTCTGTGTATGTAGTAATTCTGTGCCAGGTGCTTGGGGGAAGTACACGATTCCAGTCCTCCAGAAGTTTGAAGTCTAATCGGAAGACAAGGCTATTTACACATGAAGTTCAATAATAACTCAAAACAATAATGTAGTTTTTACCAATTATTTATGAATATTCCTGAAGTTTTCTTTATGTAACTTCTGTTAGTGGTTCTTAAAACAACAGTTTCAAGATATAGTGGCTGTATAAAAATCAGAAATGCATCCAAAAATGCATGTTATAATGACATTCCATGTAAATGTCTAGGCCCTCCCTATGGAATCCCTGATTCAGTAGATAGAAGTTGGAATTCATAAATCTACATTTTTCAGAAGCTCCCTGGGTAATTCTGATGAGTAACTGGCTCTGAGGACCACTGATATATAACATGCCAGCCACCAAGTTTGCTTCATCTTCATGCAAGTCCAACAATTAGCTGTTAATATTTCTCTATTATAGGTGAGAAGACTGGAGCCCAGAGGCTAAGTAACTTTTCTAAATCACTTACTCACAAGTAGTAAATGGCAGAGCCAGAATTCTTCTCCTGACCTTTCTGGCCTTTCCCCTCTGCTCCATTCTCTCCCGTACTGTGGACAGAAAGGAACTGCTCATGGAGCTTTGGGGATTCAGGAGTCGGTGGTGTTCCCTTGTTCCTTTTCATCTATGGCCAGGGTTCAGAAAAGTTGCCAAAGCCTCTATCATTATAGAAAACTGAAAAACAAACAAACAAACATAAAAATGAAAATAAGCTATCAATCTCACATTCAGAGGAACTGTTATTGTTAACATTTTGATGTATTTATTCAGATTCTTTATATATGGGTATATATATTTTAAATATTCTAATCATACCTCCAGTGATCTTTTTTATATTTTTTACATATACGAATATTATATAAATGCAATATTGTCCCTGTATTTTTACATTTCTTATTAAGGTTATTTCTAGATGTTTTGTATTTCGTGTTACCCTTGTAACTACATTTTCCCCACAACTTGCTTACTGTTCTTATAAAGATATCTGTTGTTTGTATATATGTTTGGTATCCAGCCACTCATTGAACCCTCATTAGTTCTAATATGCATTCTCATCTTCCTGAATGCTACAGTATGTGCTTTCTCATGAACCTAATAATTAAATTTCTAGGCCATGATTTTTTCACTTTTGTGTTTATTGGGGACTTCTAGCTGTTTATATTGGTTAGGACTTTTCAGTTGCAAATAACAAAGCAAGTGAAGTTGAAGTTGAAGAGCAGCTTGAAGCTGAGCAACTCAAGGAGTACAGCTGAGCCTTATGAATGGCTTGGAAGTAGGGGAAAGACCTCTCATGACTTCCCCCATCTTATCTCTGCTTCTTTGTGCCCATCTGCTCCCTATCTCAACTACTTTTTCTATTTCTCGGGCCCACAGTTATTCATTCAACAAGTATTTATTAAGCTCCTACAACACGCAAGGGCACCAAGGCACTATTGTAGGCCTAGAAGATAGAGCAGTAAACAAGACAAAGTGGGGGAGATTAGATAGTAAACAAACAGCTGGTCACATGGGTTAAGTGGCATGGAGAAAAGTGTAGCCAGGTAAGGGCATAGGAATACTAGGCAGGAGGTTTTGCTGTTTTATATAGAATGATCAGGGAAGGCCTCGTTGAGAAGGCGATGGTTGAGCAGAGATCTGAAGGAAGCGAAGGACCGAGCCAGGTAGATATTGGGAGATGAGTGTTCTGAGGCAAGGAAGAGAACAGCAAGTGACAAGGTTCTGTGGTTGAAGTATGCCTGATGTATTTAAGGAGTAACAAGGAAGGGTGATATTGGTTAGAGAAAGTGTGAGAGGAGTAAGCAGTGGGAGAACTGATCATGCAGGACTTCGTACGGAATTGAGTTTTTACTCCGGATGACATGATGTGGTCAGAGTAGTGATGTGATGTGTTACTGACCTTTTTATTTCCAGCTTAAATTTCCTTTAAAACAACTTTTTATTGTAAGTTCAAACATACACAAAAGTAGAGAGAATGGCATAATGAACGCTACACAACCATCGCCCAGCTTCAGCAGTTACCACCACATGGCTGGTCTTGTGTCACTTATACGTTCACATCCCCTCCCCTTCCAGATTATTTTAAAGCAAATCCCAGCTATTATATAATTGCATACTTAAATACTTAGGTGTTTTTTAATACATAAGAAAACTACAGTACTACTACTCTCCAAATAATTACCAGGAATTCTTTAATATTATCAAACATTTCCCTGATTGTTTGAAATATTTCTTTTGTTTGTTTGTTTGTTTGTTTTTCCAGTTCATTTGTTCAGGCCTAGATCTAAGGTCCATACATTACTTTTGGTTAATATGTCTCATTTTCTTTTTAATCTATAGATTCTCCTTCACTCTTTTCCCTTGTAATTTATTAGTTGGA